AAAAATATTACTATATCCGTTTTAGTTTTCTTCTTTTTTTATATATTCACGTACACTTTTATATACTTTTTCTGATATTGAGCCTATGTACTTTCCGGGGAGGAAATTACTCATAATAGTTTAGTTTTAATGCTTTTCGGGAGTTTTTTTACGTTTAGATAAAAATTTCTGAACTGAAGTAAAGTCGTGAGATTCTTTTAAATTATAAGGTTCGTATTTTTAAGAAAAAGACTTGAAATTTTCACTTAAAAAACGATATTTTTCCAAGTATTTTACCTTGTTGGTATCTATACAGTCTTCTCCATAGTAAAACTAAACTATGGAATTATCACTATCCCTCACAGTGTAATCGTAGGCCACTTTTAAGCTTTCTAAATGCTTCATTAAGCACCTTTACAGGTAACCAGATCTTGAAGTCTTTACTGCAGTGTCTATAAGTCCCTCTCTTCCTGCCATGCAATGGAAGAAAAACTCCGCAGGACGTAGCCCACTCAAGAATCTATCAGATATAAATCCTCCAGCCCTTGGATTAGGGTCATAAGGAACAAAACAGGGCAATGTTTTACCTGTAGACATTGTTGGAACTCTTTTACCTTCGAGTTCTTGTTAGCCGAGGAGTGCTGAGACTTACGTATGGTTGACTTTGGAACCTTTAGCACCGGAATTAGTCATTGTAGAGAAATTATTATATGGAAACTTCTTAATTAGACCATTTAGAGTGATATTAAGGATAGTAGAAGCATTTTAAGAAAGTGTACTTTTGTATATATTATCTTAATTTTCAACTGATAATGGATCTCTTATTAGTTTTTATTGAATTTTGCCTAAAATCTAATTTTCAGTTGACAAATAGTCATTTTCGGGTTTTTTCTTTCTTTTTTTATCCTAAAAAATCTCCGATCTGCCATATAAATCCCATTTTTCACCTATTTCAAATTCCTTATCATCTAAAAACTCCCTTGCACATGCCAATAGTCCCTATTTATGTGCTTTTTTAATTTCTTATAATCTAATTTATTCGATATTTTTTTCTACTAAAATATCATCCACACCACATGTAAAACCATGCATTTATAAATGAGTACTCAGTAATTTAGCTAAAGCTGTAAATAATTTCCCAGTTAAATTAGCTCCATAAAGTTCATAAAAAGAATGCATAAGGCCATATGTAGCCCCTGCTCCGAATGAGTTTTTATCCAAAACGCCTTATAATAATTCATTGTCTTTAATTAAAACTTGAGTATCGTCTTTGTATATACCCGAAAGTTCTTCTTATGACAATTTAGATTTAAATTCCATATATATACCTTATTCATAGTCTTTAGTTTAGTTTTATTAAACTACTATTTTTATAATATTAGAAATCAATTATTTTCCAGTCCAAAGTTTTTAAGGTTTTAAAATAGAAGGGGGAAGCATAAATATCTTATATGGCTTCCCTTGTATGTTGTTATTTTGAAACATATTCCATGTAGCACTATAAAGTAAAAGCTGGAATTCTTCTTTATTGAAAAATTTCTCTTTATGAGTCAAATATACAGCAGAAACAATAGAATCTTATATAAGTTCTCTTAAAGGTACACCGTTTGTAGCATTTATAAATTATCTTATTAAAAAAATATATAAATATGTATGTAAATAAAAATAAATAAAAATTATAAATATAAATAATAAAAAATAAAAATTTAAAAATTATTATATAAATATAAAATAAATTTAAATATATATATATGTATATTTATATAATATATTTATTAAATATATATAATTATATTTATTTATATATATATATGAATTTATTTATATTCTATATTTATTTATAAACTATTTCTTTACCTGTCATTTAATGATATATGATATCCTTCAGCCCTAGCTAAATGACTTTAAAGGAAATGCAAATTCATTTCATCTCCGTCAAAATCAGCATTATATGATTTACAATTTGCATAGTGCATCCTTATTGTTTATTCTCTTGGTAATACTCTCGCTATATGTGACATTAGGGAAGGCTTATGTAGTGTAGGTTATCTATTGAAAAGTAAAACGTCTCCTGATTATAAATGTCTGTAAACTACTTTGTTTTTTGAGTTATTTAGTAGTGTTTTTGCTAGTCCAATCCTCTATTATTCGTTTAGTGCTTCTAATGATATTTTATTTCCGTTTTCTATTATAAAATTTGCTCCAGGATGTTAAAAAGGTCCATTTATTATTAATTTTCTTAGAAATTTCACATTATATTCATTTACATGTTCTGGAAAAGTTAGTTTTTTAGCTACAAAAAGTGGAACTCCGACTTCATTTGTATTTAAATTTGGGTCTGGGGATATAACTGACCTAGCTGCATAATTAACTCTTTTTCCCATCATTTTCATTCTAAATAGTCCTTCTTTTTTTTCTAAAAGTTACCTAATTCCGGTCCCTTCGCGATCTTAGGCCTTTGATGATTTGGCAGAATCGAAAAAAATATTAACTGAGTCTTAAATGTCAAGCCATTTGGAAATAATGTCGTTTATTTTAACAAAATTGGTTAAAGATTGCTAGAATTAAGTATTTTATTTTAATTGGAGATAATTTTTAAATTTTGAGTCTAGTTAATCGAGTAGCTTTTTTTTTTTATCTTCAGTTAAATTTTAGTTTTATAAAACTATCAATTGACGCAATTCTACATTAAATTATATAATTTTTGTTAAAACTACAGTATGGCCATGTAAAAATGTTTATTCTCCTAATTTATTTTCAGGACGGAAACGATTAGGTGGTACAGGTATTACTTCTATAAAGAACATATTATAATCATTTTTGAATATTTTAAATCCTAAAAAAAAAAAAAATTATATGTATATATATGAAAATTTATATATATATATAAAAATATTAATATATAAATAAGTTTTTTGTATAATTATATTTATATATATTTATAATATTTTTTTTATTTTTAAATATATATGTATTTATTTTATATACCTTTTTTCGTATTTTTTAAAGATTTTTACGTAACATCTATTCTTCCAAAAATTAAATCAAGTATTTTTTTTTCTTTAGACCAGAAAAGTTACATTATTTGTTTTATTTAGATTGGATCTAGATATTTTTGGTTTTTAGTTTTTTCGGATATATCTTATTTTTTTTCTTATTCTGGTTCATCCTGTTCTTCGTGGTTATTTTTACCTTTTTTTGCTACAAAAAACTTTGAAAATCCTTCTTTTCTAACTGCACTTTATTATTATTTACAATGGGGACATTTTCCAATATTAATATGTGCCCAAAATTCTTTTAATATTTCATCAAAAGCATTGTTCATAGCCGTGGTAGAGTTAATTCCATTTTTAAAAAATTCAGGTTCATTTTTGACGTTTATAAGTGAAAGAATTTAAGCCTTTTTTTCTTCCAAAATCTTTAAGTTATTTTGGAGCATTTTATTCGCTTTTTATTCTTATGAACTAATTATTTTTTAATTGTTTATTAATTCTGTATCAGAAGTCTTACATTCACTTGATTTTCTGCGATTATTTTATGGTTCTTATTATTATTTCTAGTTTGTAGATGAAGCTTGTAAACTAAAAAGACTTTCCTATATACTTTTATATTCTTTTGCATCTTAAACATATCCTAGTTTTATTAATGTGAATACCTTAGTGTACATTCTTAATTTTTGTTTTGTCATACGAAATTTAAAGCAATTTAAACATAATGTTCTTATTATAAATATATATAAATATATGTATATATATATAAATATATATATATATATATATATTTAATTTTATAAATACCTTAATAATTTCAATAGTTTATCTACTAAAAATGGATTATATACAGGTAAAAGTAATTCTATATGTGCCATATGCCCTATATATTGTATTAATATTGAATTATATAATTATTACAATTATATTATTTTTATTTATTTTTTTTAAAAATTACCAGGACAATCTAATCCTTCACATCCACATGTTTCGCATCTTGTTAATTTATCATAAGGAGAAACACCCATTAAAGGATCATATAGTCCACCTATATATATAAATTATATTTTCCTTATTTTTTTTTATTAAAAAAGAAAATAACCTTTTATAGGTCTATTTAATGAATCAAAAGCTATTGGACTTGTTATTTCTTTAACGGATAATTTACGTATTTCTTCAGCTGTGTAATATGAAAATTAAACACCTGCAATACGTTTACTAATAACTTCTTGAAATTAACCTAATGTATTAGACATTGTTTGTATATATTATTTTGCGCTTTGTTTTTTATTTCTACTTAAAATAAAAAAAAAAGAATTTATATTTAGTTTTCTTTATTTATATTTTTGGCACAAAATATATTTTTTTTTTATTTATTTTATTAAATGAATATTTTTTTTTTTTTTTTTTTTTTTATTTTTTTATACTTTTATTTATTTTAACTTTTTTATATATATATATCAATATGTATTTATTTTATTTATTAAAAATGTATATTATAAAATAAAAAATAAATATAATAAAATTAAATATAAATATATTTATATATATATATATATATATATGTATATATATATATATATATATATATATATATGTGTATATAAAATCAAACTTCTTTAAAATAAATTAATTTAAAGTATTTTAAAAATTAAAATTATTTTCAATATTAAAAATATATTATATACAAAGATAATTTTCATATATTTATATACTAAAATTTAATTATTATTTAATATAAAAAAATATTATAAATAAATAAATAAAAACTATTATTTATTTATTCATATACTTGATTTTTATTTGCTTTTAAAAAATACACTTTAATAACATTGTATTATTTATTAGAATTAATTTAAAAAAAAAAAATTTATACAATAATATTTACATATAGTGATAATATTTTTTATTTTTTTATAAATAAAATACATTAAATATTTAATATTTATTTTATATAAAAAAAAAATTATCAAATTAAATTTTTTTTATAAAATAAAAATAAATAAGTATTTTAACTAAATATAAAATAAATCATTCAAAATCATCTTTATAATCATAAATTTCTTATGTTTCATCCTTTTTATATTCATCTTAATCAATATTTTTCTCTTCGTAGTCTACATCTTATTATATATCTTCTTATTCTAATGATTTAGACTATTAATTTTCGTCTTAAAAATCTTCTTCGTACTCTTATTTATCATCTTCTTCTATATCTTTCTATTAAACTATTTATTCATCTTTATTTTTTTATAAATTATTATCATCATCTTTATCAAAAGAATAATCATAATCCTCATCCTAATTATTATTAAAGTTTTCTTATTTTTTTTATTAATCTATTTATTTTATAGTTATGCCTGTGCCATTTTTTTTATGGTTTTTTACTAAATCATTATTTTTTTTTTATTCTATTATTTTTACATTATTTTGCTTTTAAAATTTTTTCGGTTCTGATAATCTACTAAAATCAGGAAATGATTTTTTGGGTCTTTTTTTCATTTCTTCTAAAAATAATATTTCTTGTTATTTTTTGAAAATTTATTCGTAATTTTTTCTCGGTTCTAAATATTTTGCATTCACATTTTTTTTCTTTTTAATATTAAAATATTCCGCTTATAATTTCTTTAATTTTTAAGCCTCTATATTACTTATTTCCAAAGGCTTCTTTTTCCTTAAAAAATATAAACAATTATTTTTTTCGTCTATTCGTATTTTACTAATAAATTTCTCAATATTATCATCAAATTCATTTTAGAGGATTTTCAAACCTTTTTTTGTTTTCATTTAAAGCACAAATTTTTTTTCGTTTTCCATTTCTACAATAAAAAAACTAGTTTTTCAAATTAAAAAAATATATAAATATTAAAAATTACTCTTTATTATATTTAATCTATGTAAAATAAGGAATATTATCTATTTTAAAAGTTTTTTTCAATAAAATAAAGTCTTCGTTTTTTTAAACTTTTATTATAGGACTTAATTTTATAGTTTTATTTTACACATTTATTATAGGTTTTTCGATTTTTTCGATTTTTTCGATTTTATCAATGCTTTTTGTTGATTTTGTTAATTTAATTGGGTATTCTGTTATATGTAATTATTAATATTTTTTTATTCTTTTATATTCTTCATTTAATTTTTTTAAATCGAAAAAACTTTTTACACTATTAATTCTTTTCAACATGTCTATATTTTGAAGTTACATAAACATGTTTTCGCTTCTTTTTTTATATGACTCGTGATTTATTTAAGGAAAATACGTACAATTTTATATGTTAGAAATGTTTGCTTATGAAATGTCTTTAATTCTATCAAAAAATTTAGTGTTTTCCTATTCTATTTATTTTAGTTATTAAAATTTAAAATGTTTTCTTATATATTTATATCTATAATCATCACTTTTAAAATTAGTATTTTTTATCATACTAATATTATTTTTATTGGAAAGTTAATTTTGGAAACTATTATTATTATTGTATGTAGTTTAACTTTTATTTATTTGAATTTTTTCTAAAGTTTTATTTGCTTAAAATTTGTTTTGTTTTTAAAATAAAAACATATTATTGCATCGATTTTTGATTTTATCTAATTTTTATTTGTGTATTTTTTTTTTTTAGTCTTGGCTAATTCTTTCGATAATTCTGTTTGGAGGTTTGAACATATTAAAATATTAATTTTATTTAATATTATGTTTTTATTTATATATTTTATTTATGTATTAAAAAAAAGTAAAAATAATAAAATATATATAAATAAATATATTATAAATATTTTATTAAAATAAAATATAATAATAAATATTTATAATTATAATTATATTTAATATATATATATATTTATATTTATATTATTATCATAAATATAGAATTTAATAACAAAAATAAATTATACATTATTTGCTCTTTATTTATATATATTATTTCTTTTTAATTCTTTATTTTAATATTAATTTTTATAATTAAAAATATTCTTTAATATTTTTTATTTTTTTAATAATTATAATAATTAATTTAATTAGATAAAAATTAATAAATATACTAATAATCTATTTATTATTATTATATATATAAATAATTTTTATATTTTTTTTATTTATATTTTTATTATTTAATTTATTATTTTTTTTTTTAAGTTTAATAAATAAATAATAATTTTATTTTAATTAATAATCTATTTTTAGTATTAATTTTTATTTTTATAATATTTTTATTTAATATTTTCAAAAGTTTGTTTAGAAGATTTCGTATTACATATTTTTAGAAAACTAATTAAATTTTATTTAATAAATGAAATGAAATATTTGCCAATTGAATTAATTTTTTTTTTTTATAATTTTTTCTGTTAATAAAAAAAAGTTAAAAATGAAATAAATATGTATATATATTAATATATATATATATATATATATAATAAAATACTAAATTATAATTAAGCAATATAAATAGATCCGACTTAATTATATTTTTTATTATGAAAATTTATATTATTTAGTCAAATCAAAAAATTATTATGTTAATAAAGATTTATTTTATAATTTGAATATTATTAAATTTTAATAATTAAAAAAATATATTTCAAATTTAAAATATATTTAAAAATAAAGAAACTTAAAAAAGAGATAATAGTTAAATAATAAATAAATAAAAACTTATATTATAAAAATTAAAAAAATTCTAATATTTCATCCTTTTAGAATAATAGTATTGATAAATCGATAATAAATTGAAAGCAAAATATTAAGAAATTAATTATTTAAAAAAAAAAAATTAAATAAATGTTATAAAATATACAATAGTTAATAACAAAAATTTATTTTAAATTAAAAGAAAGATAAGTTTTTTAGGAAAATAAATATTTATAAAAAATTAAAAATTAAAATAAAATTAAAAAAAATATTGTTAATTAATAAAATAAAATTATATATGTAAATTTCAAAATTAAAAATAAGAAAAACTCTTCTTAATTAATAATTTATAAAAAAAAAAATTAAATTTTTAAAAATTAAAAAGGAAACCTTATAACGAAATATAATAGCAAAATAAATAGTTTTAATAAAAATATATAGATATAAATAAATTTAAAAATATATTAAAATATAAAAAATAATAAATTAAAGTATAATGTAAAAAACTTATTATTAATATAAATTAAATAGAAATAAAAAAAAATTAAAATGAAGAAAAAAAAAAAATTAATAAATAAAAATAAAATAATAACAATAATATATAAAAATAAAATAAAAATAATTTAAAATATTATTAAAATAAAAAAATAAATTATATATATAAAATAAAATAATGAAGAAAGATAATATTATAAAAATAAAAATTAAGAACAAATATATAAATATTATAAAAGAATAAAAAAAAAATAAATAAAAATATCTTTTTATAAAAATAAAAATAATTATAAATATAAAAAAATTAAATATAAAAAAATATAAATATAAATATAAATATATATATAAATATATATAAATATATAAATATATAAATATATAAATATATAAATATTTAAATATTAATTGTTTAACTTTATCTATTATGATATTATGATAAATAAAAAAATTGTATTACATTTTTTTATAATTTAATTTAATATTTCTCTATAATTATTTATTAATTAAAAATAATTGTTTTAAATATATCTTTTAATAATAATTATAAAATTTTAAAGAAATTTTTTTTTATATATATTTTTTATTAAATCATATTAATTATAATTATTAATTTTTTTATTATTCATATCTATAAAAAAATATCTTTTAAATATATATATATATATATATATATATATATATATATTTATAAAATTAAAAAAGTATGTTTAATAAAAAAATGATGAAAAAAACAAAGCGCAAATAATGATTGAGCTAAAAAATATATTCAATAAATATATTTAAATCAAAACTTTTAATTTTTTTTCTGAATTTTTTTGCAAAAATTAATATAATTTTTTTTTTACAAGAAATACTTCAATCTGAAAAATATTATGATAAACAAAAATTATCATTTATATTTTAGGATTAAGTTTTCTAAATTAAATTTATAAATTGAAGCATTAAAGTTTAAGTAAAAAATAAAAGTGGACAATTTATTTATTTTATTAGTTTATTTTTTTATAAAATGCTCATGATTATATGTCATCCTTCGACTGAATAATATAAATTTTAAACATACAAATATATTAAAAATAGAAATATTTTTTAATACAATATATATAAAAAGTTAATTTAATTTTTTATTTTAACAAAGAATCAATAATTAAAATATTTGTTGTAAAATAAAAATATATTTTAATTTTTTATTAATATATATAATTATATAATTTTTTTTTATAAAAAATATTGCTTTTTTTTCTCTTTAAAATAAAGTATTATTCAATTTTTTGTTAAGAAGATTATATTATAAGAAAATTTGTATATAAATTATAATATAATAATATTATTAATATTAACAAAATATAAATAATATGTACTTAATATTAATATAAAAATTACATTTTCAGTCATTTTTATTATAATATTATTTATTATTTATAATAAAATGTTAAATGAATAAATTACTCATAATTTAATTTATTGTTTATAGCTTTTATATTTAAAAAAATAAAATAATAAATTAAAAATTATAATCAATTTTTTATTTATTATAAAAATATATATATAAATCTCTTAATTTAATATTAACAATAAAAATATGTTTTTTAATGCATTTTAAGGTGGAAGTTATGTAGAAGTATTTGATTCTAAAAGTAAAAAATAAAATAATAAAAAAAAAGAATTAATATAATATAAGATTGTAAAGAAAAGGATAAAGCTTATTAAAATTTGTATAAAATATCAAATTCAAATAAAATATTAAAAAATGTCGATAAAGTATCGAAAGGTAGTTTAATAATTTAAAAATTAAAAAAAATTAAAAATAAAAGAATTATATTTAGAATTGTAAGGATAAAACAGTAAAATAAAATTTCCAAAAGAAGATAAATAAGATCTTTATTTAGTTTAATAATATTTAATAATACAAATTTATATATAGAATATAAATTAATGGACATTTGAAATAATAATAAGCGATAAATAGAAAGTAAATATTTATTAAAACAAAAATTGTATATAATATAATAGAATAAAAAAAGAATAATATATTAAAAAAATATGAATAAAATTGATTAAAAAAAATTTACTATAAAAATGCCTAATGAAATGATTAAACAATAGAAATGGCTAAATTTAGCAATTGATATTCATAGTTTTATGGAATAAAAAGAATGTATATATATATATATATATATATATATATATATATATATATATATATAAATATATATTTATATAAATATATATTTATATATTATTTTAATACATTTTATTATAAATATATAAAGCTTTTAAATCTTTAGATTCTATATCTATTACTTCTCCATGTAAAATTATAAGAATTTTTACTACTAAATCATTTTCTAATGATATAAATTAATAAAATGATAACAAAAAATAAGAATTTATTCTAGAGTAAATAGATATAGATATAAAATATATATATATATATATATATATATATATATAAATATATATATATATACTTTTTTTAACTTTTTATATATATAAAAAGTTCCGATTTACCTTAATAATATTAATTTTTATCAAATATTGAATTTGAAAATTAACTTTTGAGTTATTAAAATACAATATTATATTTACAATACAAATTAAAAATTTAAGATGTATTTTAAATTACTTGTTAATTTGAAAAACAAATATAAATACATGATGAAAAATGTTTTTAATATTAAGATTAATATAATAAATTGTAAATGAAAGCAACTAGCAAAAGTGTAAATAAATAAAAAATACAAGAATAATAATTTTTAAGTTATAAAAAATAAATAAAAACTTCTCAATAATTTAAGGATAAAACATCTATGTTTAAATAAAATATTTCATCCTTAATTAAAATTTAAAATAATAAAAAAATTATATCCGTGTGTTAAAATTCCAATTAAGTTTAAAATATAGGCTCAAATGCTAATATAGGTATTAAATGTTTAAACAATAATAAAAATTTTGGTAAAAAAGTTAATTAATTTGATTAAAAAGAGAATAATTTTATTAATGTAATAAAAAACGATTTGAATAATAATAAGCCTTATAATGAATATTCAAATAATGTTATAAATAATAATTAATTTTATGAAAATTTAGATTTTTCTCCATAAAGGAAACTCTAATAAAATAAAAATGAAATAAATAATATTATATGTTCTTAATAGGAAGAAGAAATTGAAGAAAAAATAGAAATGGAATCTAATAAGAATTCAAATTATAATAATGATTAAAATAATACAAAAAAATTCAATAAATTTTTGGAGTCTTAATCAAGTTTTTCTTAAGAATAAAAAAAAATTAATCATACAGGAATATCATTTACTAAACCTAAATTAAAAATAAAAAATTCTACCGAAAAAAAAATAAATAATAACTAAAATATAAAAAAATAAGATTAAGAAAAGAATTAAATATATTCAGATTAAAAAAATATATATGAATAAAAAATATAAGTTAAGAATAATAATTAATTAAAATAAATATAAGATTATAATAATAATTAAGAAAAATAAATAAATGACTAAAATAATTGTTATTAAATGATTAAAAAAAAGACGGAAAAAATAACTAAGAAATTTAAATATAAGAAGATTAAAAAACAATTTAGAGAATAAATTAAATTTATAATATGAAAAAGATTAAAAACAAAAATAAAAAAATGAAGAAAAATAAATTTAAGATTAATAAAATTTAAATATTTAAAATTTAGATGATAATAAAGATATGTTTTAATCAAAAACTGATTTTTTTATTAAATAACTATAAACAATTAATAATAATATTAAATTCTAAAGATAATTTACACCTCCTTTTACTTATGGTGATAAATTTTCGCAAGTTTCTGAAAAAAATATAAACTAATCATAGATATTTTAATGAAGTTATTTTGTATATTATTTTTATTTATTTATAAATTTATATAATTATATTTTTATTTTTTCTTTAAAAAAAAAAAAAACATTAAAAAATTAAGATTTTAATAATTTTTTTAAATACACAAATAAATTATATTATTATATTTTATACAATTTTAATCACTTTCTATATATATTAGAACCATTTAATTAATAATTAAGTAAATTATTTTAGTTTTTTTAAAAATTCTATTATTATTAATAATAGTTAAGACTATTATTATTATCTATAAAAAAATCACTTGAAGAACTATCTATGTCTTTTATTTTCGATAAACTTTAGCCTGTATTTTAAAATTAAATTAGTTTTTTTTTTGATTATTATATTTGTTTTTATAATAATTCTTATTAAGCTTTATAATCATTATTTAATTTAACATAATTAATCTAATCCTATATATATATATTTTTTTTTAAAAAATGTATATATATATATACATAATTTATATTAGATTAATTATTTTTTATTTTACTTTAACATGTTCTCTTTCTCTTTCTCCATCTCTTACTCTTTCTCTTTCTCCTTCTCTATCACTTTCTCTTTTTCTTTCTCCTTCTTTTTTTTCTATCTTCTTTTCTTTATTATTACTTTATAAATTATTTTTCTATTCACTATATATGTTTTTTAGTGCTTAAATTTAATTTTATATTCTTCTTTATTCATTTTCATGCACTTTTTTTACTTTTTCTAATGATAAATTTAAAATACTGTTTTTAGTCTATAATTAAATTTGAAAATTTTAATCATTTTCTACTTGTTTTTTCATTAATTCTAATATTTATTTTTCTATTTCTTCTTTTTATTAATATAAAATTTCCTTTTCCTTATCTGAAAAATAATTTTCATTTTACAAAACTTATATTTCATTTTATTTCTCAAATATTTAATTATTTAATATTTAACTTTATTTATATAACTTTTCCTATTAATTTAAAAACTATATATACATATTTAAAAATAATATTACTTTTTCTTTTTCATATTATTATTAGATATTATTTATTTATTAATTTTTTAAATAAAGTGCTTCTTATATTTCTTATTATTTCTTTTTTTCGATTTCTTTGTTTTTTTCTTTCTATATAAATACTTCTTTTTGAACTTTTTCTTCTTTTTCTTGATTTAAAGAAAGCTGTTTTTATATACTCTATTATGTTTATACAAATTAATTTATTTGTATGTTTTATTAATCTAGAATATTTAATTAATCTTAAATTTCTTTTTCTAGTTTAATTTCTTCATTATGATAAAATAAAGCTTATTAGTCGAATTCTTACTTATTATTAAGATTTTTTAAATTTAGTTTTTTTCTTGAATTTTCTTTTATCTTTTTTTTATTATCAAAAAATTCGAAAATAATAAAATAAAAATAAAAAATAAAAATAAAATAATAACTTGTTAAATTTCTTAAGTAAGATTTTCAATTTTATTAAGAATTTCATTTTATTTTTAATCTAAATATTCGTTTTTTTGATTTAGTATTATGTTTTCTTTATTAAAATTTGAGTTTTCCTTTAAAATTTATTCATTTTGTAAAGTTTTTTGTTCCAAAACTTAATTTAGATAGAAAATTTCCTTTTAAATTTTCTATATTTCAGTATTTTTTTCTTAAGCTTTTTATTTTTGCCTTTCTAATTCTTCCACTTCTAAATTTCTATCTTTTAAAGTTTCCTTCAAATTGAAATATTTCATTTATTATTCTTTTTTTATCTCATACATTTTTTCATATTCATCTTTTATTAATTCTTTTTTTTCAATTTGGTTTTTTGTAAAATTTCCTAATTGAATTTTTTCTTATAAAACCTCTTTTAATTCTTAAAATTCCAGTTTTAATTAATAAGTTAGATTTTACTAATTTTACTGATTTTATTTTATTAAATCTTCTTTTTAATTAAAAGATAATTTCTCTTCTGTTTATTTTTACATTCCATTTTTTTTCCAATAAAAAAGCTCTTTTTCTAATCGCCCATTTTCGATTTCTATTTAGTTTTTTATTACTTAATTTTCATGCCATTTATTTTTTAATTCGTTAATTGTTAATTATATATTGTTTTCACCTTTTTTTATTTATATTATTTATATTTAATTTTTTACTTCTTCTTTTAATTGGAAAAGGGGACTTTTCAGTAGGACATTTTTATGTTTTTTACGGAGATTTTGGTTAGTAATATTATTTTTTGGTGAATTCTTAAATATAGAATTTTTAAGGAGTTTTTTGAGTTTAAGAAAGACTTTTTTTGGGTTTATTTAAATATTTGAAGGCTTATGTTTTATTTTCTGTTTACATTTTTATTTGTTTTTTGTAAGTTTTTTTATTATTTGTTTGTTTTATTTTTATTAAATATATTATAATTATTTTTAAAATTAAAATATTATAATGAAAGTAATGTAATTTATGGTTATTTTAATGTATACTATACTATTATATATTTATATTGATTATATTTTTGTATTTTAAAGGTAAAAAAAATATTAATAATATATTTTTATATATAACTTAAATAAATAATTTTATTTTTAATAAAAAATACAATATATATATGTATTAATCCTTTTATATTAAAAAAAATATCTTATTTAATTCAAAAAATGGTTTTATATTAAAGTTATTAAAAAATATATTACATATTTATTAAAAAATATATATATA